ATCATCATCATCATCATCATCATCATCATCATCATCATCATCATCATCATCATCATCATCAGCATCAGCATCATCATCATCATCATCATCATCATCATCATCATCATCATCATCATCATCATCATCATCATCATCATCATCATCATCATCATCATCATCATCAGCATCATCATCATCATCATCATCATCATCATCATCAGCATCAGCATCATCAGCATCATCATCATCATCATCAGCATCATCATCATCATCATCAGCATCAGCATCATCATCATCATCATCTTCTTCATCATTATCATCATCATCATAATCATCATCAGCATCAGCATCATCATCATCATCATCAGCATCATCATCAGCAGCATCAGCATCATCATCATCAGCATCATCATCAGCAGCATCATCAACAACATCATCATGATCGTCGTCATCATCATCAACATCATCATAATATTCATCAGCATAATCCGCATCATCATAATAAGCATCATCATCATCATCGTCATCATCATCAGCATCATCGTCATCATCAGCATCATCAGCATCGTCATCAGCATCATCATAATCATCATCGTCATCCGCAGCAGCAGCATCATCATGATCCTCCCATTCCTCATCATCACCACCATCATCATCCTTGTCGCTCCTCCTCCTCCTCCTGAGATATCCCCCCTGTCTCCCCCCGATTTGCTTACGTTGGGAAAGAGCTTGAGCGAGGCTCACAGCGTCGTGCAAACTCTCATGGCAAGCAATAACAAAATCCCACAGAGGATCAAGTGCAACTCCTCCTCCTCCTCCTGCTCCTCCTCCTCCTCATGATCCTCCTCCTCATCATCACCACCACGATCATCCTTGTCCCTCCTCCTCCTGGGTCATCCCCCCTGCCTCCCCCCTAGATTCTTGTACGTCGGGACAAGCTTGAGCGAGGCTCGCAGCGTCGTGTAAACTCTCATGGCAAGCAAAACAAATCCCACAGAGGATCAAGTGCAACTCCTCCTTCTCATCCTCCTCCTTCTCCTCCTCCTCAACCTCTGGCTGCGCCGCCTCCTCCTCCTCCTCCGCCTCATCTGCCTCCTCTTCCACATCCATCCTCCTCCTCCTCCTCCTCCTCCTCCCCTCATCATCATCATCATCATCATCATCATCCTCCTCCTCCCTCCTCTCCTCCTTCCTCCTCATCATCATCTCATCATCATCATCATCATCATCATCATCATCATCATCATCATCATCATCATCATCATCATCATCATCATCATCATCATCATCATCATCATCATCATCATCATCATCATCATCATCATCATCATCATCTTCTCCTTCTCCTCCTCCTTCTCCTATTCGTCCTCCTCTTCCCTCTCCTCTTCCTTCCCCCTCCTCCTCCTCCTCCTCCGCCTCCTTCTGACTCCTCCTCCTCCTCCTCCTTCTCCTCCTCATTCCCCCTCCATCCGCCCCAGACATCCGGCCGCTCCAATGTTTTCGACGCGTGAGCCCCAGAAGCCTGGACAACTTCCCTGGGGCAGGTGTTTCGTTTTGATCCGTTCTGGGCGGTCCCGAGGCCCAGCGAGGGGCCCGGAGGCCGAAGATAACCCCCAAACTGGCCGCTCCAATGTTTGTGAAGCGTCGGATCTCTGGGTTCTCCCCCTCCCACTCTGAGCGTTCGCCGAGCAGAGGCTGGCTCAGTCGTGCCGCCGCCCGTGCGCTGCCGGCGGGCGAATGGCCCAGGCCCCCCCGGCGGGCGGCTCCCCGCGGGTCCCCTCTTGCTCCGCAGGCAAGAGGGAGGAGGCGGGGGGAAGAGGGAGGAGGCTCACTAGGGAAAGGGGGCGAGTGCACACGCACCCTAGGAGTGGCCTCGGACGTCCAGGAGGCGACCACGGACTGTTGCACGACCCGCTTCCCGAGCGCCCCAGCGACCCCCCGACCTCGATGGCCCGGCCCTGAGAGAGAGCAGGGCGAACGAGCGCGTCCCTCGGGCGCGCATGGGGTGCGTGCAATTTCTCTTGAGCCGCATCCGGGGGGATGGAGCCCAGTGGCGCCTTGCCTGCTCCCTCCCTCCCCTACACCTCCCCCCTTCCTCCGATTCCTCTCGGGCAACATCGGCTCGAGCGCGCCGTTTTGGCAGCGGTCTCGATCTGAAGCCTTTCACTTTCCCGCAGTGCTCGAGGAGCAGCGGGCTCCCTGCCTCGCACCATCGGCAGACAGTCCCGCTGGCCAAGAGAGGTTAGCAGCAGCATCGCGGTCCCGCATCGGAGTACGTGCAAGAAGTGTGGCACACACGAGTGAAATGAAACGCTCGCTCGGGCGGATTGCACATGTAGGAAGTGCTCGTCTCCAAGGTGAAGCCCTACAGAGGTAAGCCAGACAGCAAAGGTTCTGTCTCCAAGCTTCAGGGTGCACTGATGGAGGCCCCGTCCGTTGAGAAGCTGCTGAGCCAGGCTTGCCAGCTCGTCGCGGACCCGGCGCAGCAGAAGACCCTCCAGGAGCAGACGCAGAGGGCCGCAGCCAATGCCAGCGGGCATTGGCAGACTCTGTGCAGCTGGCGCCCGCAGAGGCGGTGCGCCGTGCCGAGGGTGCTCGGAAGGATGCGGAGTTGAAGCTTGGTCAGGCTTCCGCTCAGGTTTCGAGACAATCTAGTCGGCTGAAGCTTGGTCGGTGTCGAGACAAGTTGAAGTTTGGTCTTGGTCAGGATGCGAAGTTGAAGTTTGGTCGGTGCCGAGACAGTCTAGAGCGAGCTGAAGCCAAAGAGGCCGAAGCTCCCAGAAGTATGGCTTCGGCAGAGGTCAGCAATAAGACGGCGGCAGCAGCACTGGCGCAGAAAGTACGGTTGTCCACTCGGCCCGATCCCAAGGTGTTGCAGTCTGAGCCGATCAATGTGCAGGAGTCCCCCATCAACATCGGTTTCACATGGGACGAGAGTTTTTCTCCTCGCTCGATGATATTGAGCGCGATGGGGCGGAGCGTGTTGCGTTGAGACAGTTCGAGAAGGACCTGAAGGCCACCAAAGAGACGTTGGCGAACAAGTCGGCCGACATGGCGAGGTGGAACCAGAAGGTCACGGAGCTCAAGAAGGCCATCGAGGAGAGGGCGGCCAAGAAGCGCAAGGAGGCAGCGGAGGTCGAGGGCGACGACGCGGCGTCGGGGGCAGGCGCGTCTTCGAGTGCTTCGGGAACGCCAGCGGCCAGGACGCCGACGGACGCCGAGATCCAGCAGGAGATGAAGCGCATCAAGCAGGCGCGGGAGGCCGCCGAGGCAGCTGCGCGCGGCGCAGCAGCAACCGACGGCGAGCCCGCGGGCGGCCGGGGCCAGCGAGGTCCAGGCCCCGCCGAAGGTGGGCCGACGCCTTCGGCGCCTGCAGGGGCGGAGTCGGCGGCGACGCCAGTGGTGGCCCAAGAGCCCGCTGGCGTGGTCGAGGAGAAGTGCGACGTGGAGGATTGCAAGATGTTTTTCGCGAGCACCACGACTTTGGGACGGAAAGCGTCGAAGTTTCTATCCAGCTAGTCGCACCTCTCGCAGCATCAAGTCATGGGTTTAGTTGGGACGCACACTTCGGGCAGAGGTGCTACCAGAGATGAGTGGGCGCGCAAGGCGCAGCAGATTCACTGGCGATTTCTGGACAACGGTGCACGTCCAACGGGCAAAGGCAGCACAGCTCCTGGCCAAGCTCGAGCTTGTGAAGGCTGCTTCTCGCGCGCAACTATCGTCATGTCCATCAAGTTGCTGACAAGCCCCGAGATCTACCTAGTTTCTGTCTCCCTGATGCAGTGGACTACGACGGTTGCATGGCGGTTGTGGTCCACCAGCAAGGGTACTATTTCGGGCTCATCGTATACTACGGGTACTGCACGGTCGGGCTCAGAGGCGACAACACAGGGCGCATGGCGCGCCCTGGGGCTTCCGCACGCTGCCTGCAATTACCGTGGGCTATCGTGGGCGACTGGGACATTGATGCGAGTCGAATGTTGAAGCCGAGATTTCTCCAGTAGCTGAACGGGCATGTTGTGAGAGCTCCTGCGCAGTACACGTATGCTCGTAGCAAAGGGCAGTCGCACATTGACAATTTTGTTGCCAGCGCACCACGCTTGCCGTACATCAACTCAACTGAGGCGGTCGATGCCGCCCCATGGAAGCCCCACTGCGGGTTGTTCATCTCAGTTCGTCAATCCGGTTTGCAATTAGTGACGCGTTCTGTTTGTCGCACCGAGTCTGCCACAGTCCAGTCGGCCACGGACTCACCACACCTTAGGGTCGAAGTCGCAGCAGGCAAAGCAGGAGCAGAGGGCGCGCAGTTGTGAGATGCATGTCCCTCTAAGAGGCTGAGGGTGCGAAACACTGCGAGATACCTGTTAGATAGAAACGGAGGTACGAAAGGAGATACGTGCAAAGTATGCGTTCGATGTCGGCGCCGCGAGGGCCAGTAACATTGGATACTGGAAATATACCCGAAGATGTTCGTTGAGGGAGTGGGTACGAAGCTGGACAGAGTAAAAGTAATCGCCCGACTATCGATTAGCAGTTTGATGGCGCATGCAACGCAGCACGCAGCGCAGGATACCACGCAACGTTACGCAATTTACCCGGCGCGACTGCGAGCATACACCCCCCGAAGATTTCTCAAGATGGCCCAGAGACGGCTCCATGACGGCCAAGACGTTCCCGATCTTGATCTAGCAAGGCCAAAAAGTCGGCCTGAGCGCTCCAAGGAAACCCACGATGTATCCCAAGGCGGCCAAGAGAGCCCGAGAAGCACCAATACGGCCTGAAGATCTCTTCAAAGCGGTTCCAGCTCCACCGAAGACTGCCTCAGATGACCCCCAACGGCTTGACCCTAGATGCCCCCCTAAAGGCCCATAGAGAGGCTCAAGAGTCCCACGAAAGGCAGCCAGTGCTCTCTCGTCTCCCCCAGGACTTCATTGTTTCTCATCCTTTGTTTCAGCAGCTGCCGCGCCACCTGCTGGCGGTCGCAGCCGCTGCCCTGCGGAGACGCCTGCCGATCACGGCACCTGGGCGGCGTCGAACGCCCACTTGCGCACGGCAGCTTGCATCTCGCACGAGCTGTTGCCAAGCGACGGGTGGTCCGTGACCGCTTTCAGCGCCTTGCGAAGCTCCCTCCGCAGCTCGGCACCGTTCTGATCCTTCTGATGCGCACCCCAAGCGCGCAGAGCCTTGGCCGTCGCCCGCGCGACGCTGGCAGCCTTCATCACTTTGTTGCTGGACTCGAGGATGCACTCCTGCATGGGAACTCAGAAGCTCGTGGGCGGCGGCCACCTCCTTCTGAGCAACCTCGAGACCCTGGGCCTTCTGGGAGAAGGCGTCGCCGTCTAGCTCTGCAACTGCTGCCATGAAAATCGGCCTGACCACGTCGAAGTCATCCGCCTTCGCTTCTGGGATCTCACCGGTCCAGCTCGCGTCACCGGATGCTCCTACACTGGCGACCCCCTTGATGCTATCCGTCGCGGCAGCCAACGCAGCCAGCGCAGCGTTGAGATACTCCACCTGAAACTCTGCCTTCAGCAAGCCAACCTCATTCATGAAGTCGATCATGCCCTGGCACGGTGGTCTGTCACCAACGCGCTGCACAGAATAGTGCTGTCGTTCAGCAACGATGCAATTACGATCACCGGGTCCTCTGCAGCAGTCCTCGAAGCTAGATCGGGGCCCAGCCCCTCGAACTTTGCGACGGTCGTGGGAGCATCACTCCACGCGGCCATGCAACCGATGAACTTGGTGAGAGAATCCTCGATGGCGCCGCCCACCTTCGGTCGAAGCAGGTCCCTGGCCGACGTAGACAGCTGCAGGATCGGGTCGAGGGTGCGCGGGGTCGCACCAGTGGCATCCTTAGCGAAGGCGAGCGCAACCTCGGCGAGAGACCAAATTCTGGATTCCCCCCACTATACGAGCCACCTCCTTCCCCTCCCGTCCGCCTCACCTAGCCCATCATGCCCATCCACGCTCCTACATCTGCAGCATTTGACTCTCACCACTGCCAGCCTGAATGAACCCTCCGAGCTTGCCCATGGCGTCGTCGTCGAGCTCCGCGCCCGCCTGGCTGGCGTCCATCACCGCGTGGTGGATAGTTCCCACGGCGTTGGTGGTCACGTCCTTCGGCTCCATGGCCTGAGAGTTCTCGAGCAGGGAGGACAGGGTGTTCGCGTAGTCCGATTTGCCGACTTCAGCCATGGCCACTTCGCAAGTCCAGAGGCGCGAAGACCAGATCTCAGCATTGTCGGGCAGGACGGTGAAAGCCTGCTTGAGACGCTGTTCTGCCAGCACAAGCTTATTGCAAGCATCTGCGTCGGCGGCGTTCGGGTTCGCGATGTTCAGTCAGAGAATGAGTTCCTCGAGCGACTTAGTCAGCAGCGTGCTCAGGTGCTCGAATTGTTCCCGCCATGCACTTGCTGCGCATCTCATCCATCTGGGTCAGCATGTTTCCGAGAAGACCGCTCCTCCCAGCGGCAGCTGCGCCCGTGCGAAGCTCCTCCTCCTGCGCAGGAAGGCTTGCCAAGATCTCCTCGGTGAAGCTGTGCTTCGCGCCGATATCCTTCAATAGCCCGTCGCGGTCAGGCATGAACTTCAATGACTGGCCACCCTTGCCCCTGCTGGAGCCGATGGCAATGGTGCGAATCAGCTCAGGATAGCCGGCAACAAACGAGGGATCCACCAACGCTGTCAGGCCATTCGCGGACAACTCCAGGTCGGCCACCGTCTTGTCGAAGTCCTCGCCGTCTCCCCGATCTGCGATCATGGCGCAATACCTGAGGCATGCGTCGGCGATGCTCTGCGCGCCTTGCTCCCCAAATTCGCCCAGCTCCACGACGCCAGACAACGGCCTCTCCGACATCGACTCGGAACGGCTAATCTTCTCATCGCTCGAACAGTCCAGGAAGCAGAGCTGCGGCCTGTTACCATCGAACGTCGTCTTCTCGGGCCCGCCCCACGGCACGGTAGCATGGAAGAACATGTTTGCGTCTTAGGGTTTCAGGGCGTCTGCCAGACTGCCGTCACAATACCTGCGCCAAAGCTGGAACTTCAGGTTGTTCGGAATGAAAACGCCACCGTGTTGATGCTCTTTGACCGCGGTCTCGAGCACGCCGACGTCCACCTCTGAAGTGCGGCTGCTTGCCAGGGTCTCGGCTTGCTTCGCGATCTCCAGGTGCTTCGACCGACTCCCGGCCCTGGCGTCGCCCTTGCGCTGGAAGAGATCGCGGGGGTCGCTGCGCCACCGCCTCTCACGGCCGGCCCATGTTCTCGTTCCTCATGATCTCATCGACGCCGTAAGCGCTGATCCTCCGCTGCACGAGGTCGTCTCGATCTGCATCTGCGATTGGTAAGCCGCCCTCCATGGGCACCCGCTGGCCCCCGCTGCCCCTGCCGATGATACCGCCTGTCGCGCTCTAAGAGATGGCGCACACGGCGCCATCGCCAGCTCGAGAAGCACCAGGGTAGCGCCTCTTCGCAGCAGGAGTCAAGCCAAACGTCGACATGCTACCCAAGACTGCATGGCGATTGAGGTTGGGCGCGCGGGCTGTCTTAACTGCCTCCGCCGCCTCTGCAGCAACCTCCTCGTCGTCCTCCTCAAACGGCTCATCCAGCTCGTCGAGGTTGCCCGCGTCGGGTTTGCTGGGTTAGCGGCCAGACCCGTTAAGCCTGCGGGCGCCATCCCCGTCCACGTTGCCGAGCGCGCCCATGAGCATCGCTGCCATGGGGCTGCAGCTCATGGCGCCCACTTCGACCCCGCGCACCTCGCAGGACTTCTTCACCAGATCCGAGATGTCCCATGGCGCAGTCCCCATCTCGACCGCAGCTTCTTTGGTCCCCTTTGCCTTCAGCATCTCGGACTTGGCGAAATCAAAGACGATGTCCGCATGCTGCTCGTACACCTGGGCGCCGCTGGCCATGGCGACGGTAGCCCTCTCGACGTCTGACGCGTTGGTGAAGTTGAATTATGTGAACGGCCTCGCTGGGTTACGGGTTGTTGTTGACGCCCACGAGATCCTGCATCTTGATGCCGATGCGCTCCGGCGAGACTGACAGCAGATCCTTCAGCTGAGCCCGACTCGGTCCTGCCATGCTCTTCGTCACTGTGACCTCGTAGCCGGTGTACGACGACGTGCTGGCCTTGCGGTTGCCAGGGCCCGGTTCTGGCCTGGTCTTACCTAGGCAGTGCATCGCGCAGCGGCTTCAGATGTGGAGGACGGAGTCTAGGCTGCATGCGGATATCCAGCGTGCGTGGGGCAGTATGGGTCAGTTCCTTGCAGGGGTGCCCGAGGCCTTGAGGTCCAGACACATTCGAGGGCCAATCTCGGCCACCATCGCGTAGTTGCTTCAAGCGGGGTGTATTCCACCCTCAGCTGCTGAGTGGGACACCACGAATGGTTGCATCATGCTTGGAATGTTTCTGCCGCGGGGATCGTAAGTCATGACCAGATGGTGCCTCTCTTGTCGGAGTTTGAGGAGATGCTCGCAGCAAGGCAGTGGCGAGAAGCAGCGCAATTGCATTGTGGGCGGATTTGGTATGTTAAGTTACTGTCAGTCTTTGGCGAGCATATCTCAAGCTCGCAAAGGACGACAGCTGGTCGAACTCATGATTTCTATTCCTGGTGGGGGCTCGTGGCCAAACGAACGGAAGTGTCAAGCGAAGTTGTGAGATCGTGTTTCAGACGTATGCGACCGCTGCAAAGAATCGGTGGGCACGGCATATCATCGTACGTGGGAGTGCCCGCGCAACGATAGAGGCCGTGCTTTCACCGATTCAGATCATCTTGTGGCGCGCGCAGGAGTTGAGAGGGATAGTTCCACGTGCTTTTGGACAAGAGGCGTCATCCCAGCCAGTTGGACATGGGTACCCGAGCCAGACTCTGAGCCGCAGTGGGACGTCGGCAACATGGCTGGACCACTCACTGCAAACAGCTTGGGTATCGGCACGCGTGCAGCACCTTTGCTTGCAGCTGGGGATGCATCTGTTGGGCGGACTCGCGCGACATACGGTTGCGCCGTGTCGGCCTTGGGATCGTTGTGTTGTAGAGTTTCTCTCCAGTGAAGGTTGGACCGCTTATGTTGGGACCGCTGTGGGTCTCGCAGTCGCAGCAGACGGCACCGCGAGGTGAACTTCAGTGTCTTGCCACAGCTATTGAGTTTCGCAAGGTGTGCTGGTATACGTTACGGATAACGATGAGGTGTGTAGAGGATTGTGGCAGGCTTTGTATTCGAACCCCACAGGTCAGAACGCTGATTCATGGAGGTGTATCAGCAATCTTGTCTATCCAGTCACGCTCGCCAGCTGACGTCGTGGTGTTTCAAGTGTCTTCCCATGTTTCTCTTCGGGGGTATGTGGCTCGCGGCGTCGCAAGCTGGTTGGTGCAAGGCATCGAAGTGGTGGACAAGCTGGCAGATGTGGCAGCAGCGAGGTGCAGGGTCCCCGAGTCTCACAGGGCGAGAGTCGCCACAGTCAAACGTGATGCGTCACTCGTTCGACGGCGACTGTTCCGAGCTGCGCTGCTGGTCATACAGCATGAGACGAGCCTGAAGCGAGAGGCACGGAGAGCGAGGATCGCTGAGGGAAAGCCTGTTGCTCCCCCTCCTCCTCATCCGTGTCCCCCTCCTGCTCCGAATAGCGTTGAACGCTTCGCGACGGCACATTCCCTTGGAGAGGATAGGAGGTATTGTAGTGTGTGTAAAGGTAGTGCTTACATCTCGAGCGCGACTGACTAGGTCGTGTAAAGTGAATGTATGTCGTTGCGCGATATTAATGGTCGGCTTTTGAGGCTCCTCCGAGGACGACAAATACTATCGCTGGCGGTTGGGCCCACCCCTCGCACGCAATGTTATATCACGTATCTCCAGGAATCTGGTACTGAGCTTCGTGCGGTCACTTCGGTCAGTCTCAGATCAGGGGACTTGGGGTGCCGTGCAAGCCGTTTCCCATTCCGAAGAGTCGTCGGGAGTATATCGATAGAATCTCACGTGATCTTTTCCCAAGACTTAGCTGGGGAGCGGAAGTGGTTGTTGACATCTGTCAAGGCGGTAATCCAAGTAATCCCTTCCTCCGATTCCTCCCCCCTTCCGAAGCGCGCGCCAAAAAACAACATCGTCGGGTCCGCTGTTATTGTGGAGTGGGGCACAAAAGAAGGGTTGGAAAGAAGGGAAAAGAGGAGGAAACGGAAGGAGGAAGGAGGAGGATGAGGAAGAGGGAGAACGGAGGAGGGAACAGGAAACAATCTCAGATGTCACCCCAAAGCGTGAGAACGGCGCGGGGGAGGGAGCCGAATCCATGCCATGGCTAACAGAACCAGCGCACGACCAAGTTCACTGTACTTTCACGATCCGATTGACTGCGCACGTGGCAGCCACATGCTGATGTTGTACGACGTGCGTATCCAGCAAGAACGGTTGCACGAACTGCTGCGTACATCTGTGAGACCCCTTTGCAAAGAACCCATTCGCCCGAATATGACTGGTGGCGGGCGTATGGCCTGGCCCCTGCTCCAAAGCGCGGCTCGCCTCTTTTTACTTTCTCCACGTCAGGTGCTCGGCCCGACCGTTCATGT